ATCTCAGGGAAAGTAGAAAGAAGGGGGAGCGGACATTTGGAGTCACAGTGTTTTTCTTCCTAAGTAACCATCAGATGTGATGGAGCTCTGTTTTCCTGGAAATCGCTAAACATCTGCCTACTGGTGGGAAGTAGTGAATGTATTCCTTATTTTGCTTTGCTTGCATGGTTTTGCTTTACCTATTAAACTGTCTTTAACTGAACCCACAAATTTTTACACTTTTACCCTTCCAGTTCTCTCCTCTACCCCACTGGGTGGGGGGAATGAGTGAGCGGCTGTGTGGTACTTAGCTGCTTACCAGGGTTCAACTGCAACAGGTGGGTAAATTATAGTAGTGGGAAATCCCCTTTCCTTTTCCTGCTTTAAGGAAGGTCAGATGATCATACCATAGCAAGTTCCATTGTTCCAGGGCTAATATACGTCTAAAGTCTTGGTTTTTAAAGCTACCCTATGATTTTCCATGTGGGAAAAAAACTGTACTTTTTGGAGATTTTGTTTTACCCTTTATTTTAGGAAAGATACTAGTACTTCCAGGGCTCAATTTTTCTGTCCTCAGGTTGACTTGCAGAGAAGGACAAATCACATACCTTGCAAATTTGTTTCTTTCTGTGGAATACAAAACTCTGGCCCCTCTGACAGCGTATAGAATAGAATAGAATAGAATAGAATAGAATAGAATAGAATAGAATAGAATAGAATAGAATAGAATAGCTCAGCTGGAAGGAACCTGCAATTATCATGTAGTCCAACTGCCTGACTACTTCAGGGCTGACCAAAAGTTAAAGCATGTTATTAAGGGCATTGTCCAAATGCTTTTAAACACTGACAAGCTTGGGGCATTGACCACCTCTCTAGGAAGTCTGTTCCAGTCGTATAAACAAATACAGTGCAGCACACATAGAACTGTCAGACGTGTCTATGTCTGAAATATTTAAAGTAAATGCAGAGAAAGTGATTCAGCTTATCCCAAGCAATATATTGACAACAAGCTGAACATCTGAGCCCTGAAGAAAAAAATACGCAGCTCCCTCTATACAGGTTACCTAAACTTAGGGAAATTGATCTGGAACTGAATCCCATTTAAAGGATGAAATTCAAATATTCATATTCAGGTGCTTACTGCCATTTTAGATTATCTATCCCCCTCTATCTATCTATCTATCTATCTATCACCCTCTCAGCCCTGACCATTGTTATGGCTCTCTGCTGAACTTCCTCCAGTTGATCAACATCTTTTTTCTATTGGGAGGTCCAAAACTGGGTGCAGTCGAACAGGTGTGCTCCAATGAATGCTGAATAGAGGGGGATAACCATCTCCCTCCACATATTGGCTATAGGCCCATTCATACAGCCAGGAAAATGGCAGCTTTACAGGACACACCTTTGGCTTTTGTTCAGCTTTCTTGATATCATGGTAATTCTGATTAGTACTTTCCAATTAATTATGTTACTATTGCTCTTAGAGCTATTAATGGTCAACATCCATTTTTATTATATTGTTATTGTTTATTAGTTTCCCTTCTTCTTCGTCGTCGTCATTGTCTTCATCATCATTATCTTCATCATCATCACTTTCATCACCATAACAATATATCCATGTATTATCTTATAATTCATTATTACATTTATGTCCATAGATGTCAATTATTATATCAAGAGATACTGAGTACATTTAAACCATAATATTCTTCTAAATGTAATGTGCATTTCATTAAAAGTGAAAAATGACAGTGTCTTTTCTCATTTTTGTCTTTTGCTACCATGTTGTGATCATGCAACAGATTAAGGTTTGTTGTTAATATTATAGTTGTTCTTTACCTTGCCCCCCTGCAGAGATTAAAAGTGCTCTCTAATGATTACTGTGTAGGCATCATTATTACTGCAAACCACAGATAATTCTGCTCTATTCTTAGTGCTCTAGGCACACAGTGATACCTGCATTTTTCTCTTGATTCATTGGAAATACAACATAGTGAACTTTTGTCTTGGTTTAGCCCCAGCAAGCAGCTAAGCACTAAGTGGCAACTCACTTCTCCTCCTGGTGGAACGGTGAGCAGAATCAGGAGAAAAGGGTAAAAAAGAAAAAGGTTTGGGATAAGGACAGTTTGCTAGGACAGCAAAGGAAGACGAAAATAACAACAGTGCTTAGAATATAGAAAGTGGATGATACACAATGCAAGTTGCTTGCCCATCAGGACACCCAGCCCATCCCTGAGCCACCACTTCACCCTAGCCAGCCCCTTTTTACCCTGAGCATGACATCATATGATACAGAATAACCTTTTGGCTAGTTTGGGTCACCTGTCCTGGCTATGTCCCCTCCCCGCTTCTTGTGAAAATTAACTCTATCCTAGCTGAAAAGCAGGACATTATCCACACTTTATTCTATACTATGTATGTCATGCCCAGATTCTACACTCCCAATTAATCATCACCTCTTTCCATATGTATATGTATACACACACACATGCAGATAGTCTATGGGCTATTCCTCTAAAATATCCATAGAGTTCCTTTAGTCCATGACTTTGGGCTTCATCTGTCATAGCAGTATCTCAGGGCAGGAGAGATGGTGTGTGCTGTTGGGTTGCATGCTACATTCAGACCTCATGGCTGGTGGATCTGGCATGGTCCATGCTCATGGTCTGCAGGTTGAAGATGGTGACTTCTGAGGAAGTTGCTGGGCACCAGTTGTTAAAGACAGTTCTAGTTCCATCATTGCTGCACTTTGCTTTGTTTCATCAAAGTTCATCACTCATTAATTTGGTTGATTCCTACTGTAATACCATTGATACAGTATATAGCAATTGTAGTAGTAATGATATATAATGGCAGGATTATTTAGCAATTAACATCATACAATTTAATTTAACGGCTATTGTCACTCAAAATAAGATCCCCTTGAGGTACACTTCAGACTTCTCCATTCTTCCGTATCATCCACCAAGTGCACCCAGGTCCCTGAGCAGAAGCAATACCACGGATGGGTTTGCTTTTGTCTGAAGTAGGGCTAACCCAGACTGTCTTCCCCAACATATTCTTCATCCATACTATGGGGATTTATCTCCTTCTACAGGGCATGGAATTTTTGATTGGGCAGGGCCAGCTTGATTGGTAGATGTCCTTGAGTTAACTAACTAGGTGGCCTTTACTAAATGTGTGTCCCAGTGTTTGAGGGTCCCACCACCCACTGCTCTCAGGGTAGTTTTTAGCAGTCCATTGTACCTTTCAATTTTCCCAGAGGCTGGTGCATGGTAGGGGATGTGATACACCCACTCAATGCCATGCTCTTTGGCCCAGGTGTCTATGAGGTTGTTCTGAAAATGAGTCCCGTTGTCTGACTCAGTTCTCTCTGGGGTGCCATGTCGCCACAGGACTTGCTTTTCAAGACCCAGAATAGTGTTTTGGGCAGTGGCATGGGACACAGGATATGTTTCCAGCCATCCGGTTGTTCCTTCCACCGTTGTAAGTACATAGCACTTGCTTTGGTAGGTTTGTGGGAGTGTGATAGAATCGATCTGCCAGGCCTCACCATATTTATGTGTCAGCCATCATCTTCCACACCACAGAAACTTTAACCTCTTGCTTGCTTGATTGCAGTGCATGTTTCACATTCATGGATGACCTGTGAAACAGCATCCATGGTCAAGTCCACCCCTCGATCACAAGCCCATCTGTATGTTGGATCTCTTCCTTGACGACCTGAGGTGGCATGGGCCCACCAAGCTATAAATAATTCATCCTTATGTTGCCAGCCCAGTGTTCTGATCTAGGAAGGCCCAGGCTGGGAAGATTCATTCAGAGTGAGATTAAGACATAAACAAGGTCATGTGCCGCTAACCGGAGGACTTTATTGAACAAAGTATTTATCAAGAAAGTAGCGATAGGAAAGCAAAAGAGAGAATAGAAAAGGAGGAAATTTAGCAAGCAGTCAGGATAGAGTTGCAAAGGATAGTCACCACCATGGATCCAGCGGCGTCCCGTTGGTCCATAGTCTTCATGTATTCTGGCCGTGAGAGTCCCCCTCACCGTTTCACTGAACAGTCTTTTATAGGATATGCGGGAGGTTGTTCCCTAGATGACGGCACATACTGCATCCCTGCACATGGTCTTGACAGGCTGGGGTGGTTGCCCCTGTCTAGGCACACCACCACCACACCCCCAAAGCAACATGACTATTCTTTGACCCCTGTTGGTCTGCTCATGGCAACTGGGTTCAGCCAATCTGGCGGGTAGTCTCGCAAAGAGCCTATCAGGGTTGCGAACAAGCTTTGAGACGGTCCACTCAAGACGTCGTCCCTTACATCCAGATCTACCTGAGTCTCTTCAACCTCAGCAGCCTGATCCAGCTGCTGGTTGTTCTGATGCTCTTCAGTGGGCCGACTCTTGGGTATGTGGGCATCTATGTGATGTATTTTTACAATCATCTTCTCTAGCCGGGCACCAATATCTTGCCACAATGGGGCAGCCCAGATGGGTTTTCTTCTGCGTTGCCAGTTGGTCCGTTTCCACTGCTGTAACCACCCCCACAGGGCATTGGCCACCATCCATGAATCAGCAGAGAGGTAGAGCATCAGCCACTGCTCTTGTTCAGCAATGGCTAAAGCCAGCTGGATGGCTTTCACCTCTGCAAACTGACTTGATTCACCTTCTCCTTCAGCAGCTGCTGCAACTTGACGTGCAGGACTGCACACAGCAGCCTTCCACCTCCAATGTTTTCCCACAATGCGACAGGACCCCTCAGTGACCAGGGCATATTGCTTCTCACACACTTCCGCTAGTGATATTCCGAAACCTTTGCCTTCTGGCCAGTCCATGATCACTTCCAGAATTCCTGGGTGACTGGGGTTTCGTATTCAAGCCTGCTGTGTGATCAGTGTGACCCACTTACTCCACGTAGCATCAGTTGCATGGTGTGTAGAGAGGACCATCCCTTTGAACATCCAGCCCAGCACCGGCAGTCGAGGTGCCAAGAGGAGCTGTGCTTCAGTACCAAGCACCTATGAAGCAGCTCCAACTCCTTCATAGGCTACCAGTATCTCCTTTTCCGTTGGAGTGTAGCGGGCTTCAGATCCTCTGTATCCCAGACTCCAAAACCCCAGGGGTCCACCTCGAGTCTCCCCTGGTGCTTTCTGCCAGAGACTCCAGGTAGGGTCATTCTCCCTGGCTGCAGTGTACAGCACATTTTTGACATCTGGTCCTGCCTGGGCTTTCTCAAGGGCTACTGCATGGACAATGTCCGGTTTAATGTGTTCAAAAGCTTGTCTTTGCTCAGGGCCCCATTTGAAATCATTCTTCTTCTGGGTTATGTGATAGAGGGGGCTTACAATGAGATGGTAATTTGGGATATGCATTCTCTAGAAACCCACAACACCTAAGAAAGCTTGTGTTTCCTTTTGCTAGTCAGTGGAGACATGGCTGCTATTTTGTCAATCACATCCATTGGGATCTGACGAATGCCCGTCTTGCCATTTTATTCCTAAAAACTGGACGTCCTGTGCAGGTCCCTTGACCTTGTTTTATAGCAAAAGTGTCTTTCAGAAGGATTTGGACTATTTTTCTCCCTTTTTCAGAGATTTCTTCTGCTGAGTTGCCCCATACAATGATATCATCCATGTATTGCAGGTGTTCCGGAGCTTCACCCTTTTCCAGTGCAGTCTGGATCAGTCCATGGCAAATGGTGGGGCTGTGTTTCCACCCCTGAGGCAATCGATTCCAGGTGTACTGGATACCCCTCCAAGTGAAAGCAAAGTGTCCTGTACTCTGCCACCAAAGGGATCAAGAAAAACCCATTCACAATATAGTTGTGGCGTACCACTTGGCTGCCTTTGACTCCAGGTCCTATTGAAATTCCAACATGTCCAGCACGGCAGCAGTCATTCAGGCCGCCATAGTCTACTGTCAGTCTCCACTCGCCATTAGACTTTTGCACTGGCCATATGGGACTGTTAAAGGGTGAGCAGGTTTTGCTGATCACTCCCTGACTCTCCAGTTGATGAATCAGCTTATGGATGGGAATTAGGGAGTCCCAACTGGTGCGATGTTGCTGCCGGTGCGCTATTGTGGTAGTGACTGGCACCTGTTGCTCTTTGACCCTGAGCAACTGCACAACAGAAGGGTCCTCCAAGAGACTGGGCAAAGTAGACAACTGTTCAATTTCCTCTGTTTCCAAGGCAACTGTTCCAAAAGCCCACCAATACCCTTTTGGGTCCTTGAAAGTCAACTGAGACCCCCTGGTTAGCCAGGACTGCTGATAAATGGTTTACATGTACATCTTATTACGAAAACATCTGAATCTTTCAAATGCCCTTTGTTTTACTTCTAAAAATGAAGATTTTAATGAGTTTAGATGAGACTTGCAGTTGAGATATGGAAATGTAGACATGAGACATGAGATGAAGTGAGTTCACTGAAAGTGCCTGGTCAAAGGTGCCTCTCAAAAACACTTCAGGTTTTATTTCTGGCTAGAAAGGATCACATGAAATATTTCAAAGCATAGGGAAAATGTGGAGTGCAACAAGTGTCAATGCCTTGAACGAATTACCCAGAGCATGTCAAGTACTGCTCAGCAGAGATTTTTAGGGTTTCCTGAAATGCCCAGATGCTATATACAATGAAGGCACATAAGAAGTGAAAATCTCAGTCATGCAAATAAGAGGGACACTTCCTTTCTCCTTCAAAGATTCCTTTTAAACAGTTTCTTCATAGCTTCTTTAATCTCCTTGATTTTTATGCTGTAGATTAGATAGTAGGATTAATTATGGAGGTAATATGGAGCAGAGCATGGCTATTACAGGTGCCAAGGCTGATGAGAAGGTGGAGATGAGCTTCATGTAAGCAGTGCTACCTATACAATTAAACAAGGAGACCACAGTGAGGAAGGGGATGCAGGTGGAGGAAGCTTTATGTTGCCTTTCCTCAGAAGAGATTCTCAACACTGCCAGTGAAATCTGAACATAAGACATAAGGTAGATGTAAAATAGAGACTAAAGGCCACAGCCCCAAACTCATGGACATAGTTGTTAGAGCAGCACAGCCGGAAAAACTAGGAGACATCACAGAAGCACCAATTGACACTGCACTGGCAGAAGGTTAACTGGAAAGTGATGCCAGTGTACATTGTGGAATACAGACAAGCAGTAGCATGCACACTGACTGCTATGTGAAGGCAAGCACTCGTATTCATTTTTGTTTCACAGCACAAGGGATTGCCTGTGGTAACATAGCAGTGATATGCCACGGCTGAGGATAGCAAAGCAAGCTGGAGTGAAGAAGAGAAAGAAAAATACTTGGGCAACATATCCAGAGCAAGAAATAAACCTTGTGTTTAGGATGGAGTTGTCCATGGATTTGGGGACCAGGACAAAGATGGAGCCAAGGTCAGAGATGGAGAGGTTCATGGGGAAGAAGTACATGGGGCTGTGAAGCTGGTGGTCAAGCACTACAGCTGTTATGATGAGAAAGTTCCCAGTAAGAGAAGCCACGCAAAAAAGGAGAAACATCAGACAATGAAATACTTGCAATTCACAACTATCAGAGAATCCCAGGAGAAGGAATTGGGTCCCCATGTTGTGATTAGACATTTCTTGCTATGTTCTCACTGAGTCTAGCTTCCACAAGGACATTGATCAGAATTGCACACCAAGAAGAAAGGATCTGAGCGTTCTAATTGGCCACATCACATCTATAAAATTGTCTTTCAATGGCACAGAACAAAACCTGTGCAAAGTTTCAGGAAAAAAAGGTTTCTAAGCAGTGGAAGAAGTATTGCTTTCATTTGGTTCTTCTGTTGAGTGAAGAAAGGAGGAAAAAAGTGTTTGCCTGTAAAAAGAATGTGAGGACATTGAAGTAATGAGAGACAAGTCATGTGAGATTTTCTATTTTTTTTGATCTAGGTATCAATGTCTGTCCTCTTGATAACTATCTGTGAATCTCACCTGAGATGTCTGAACAGATACTTCTAAGGTTGGAGTCACTTACTTTGAATACAGATGTCTTAGCTAGGTCTAGACATGTTTATTCCTCCATATTGGCAATAAGTGGAAGGTACTAGATAAGCTCAGCTCTCAGGTATAAGCATTTAGGATCATTTTAGGCAAAAGAGTAGTCTCTTGCCCGGTTTTCCTCTTCCACTTCTGATAGTGTAGGTCTACCGTAAGGCCTGTGTCATATCTTCAAACTATACATGTATCTGGGATACTCTATGGCTTCTTTCATGGCATTGGTAGCCTATTGACAGGCAACCGAATGAAAGTGAAACTTCACTAACTCTTTTTAGGTCTGCTGTGCAGATACACAAATTAGGTGAGGTGAATCCCACTGTTTCTTCTCTTTCAATCTGTACCCTGAGACATATAAACATGCATAAATACATTCATACGTAGGCAGGCAGTCACATGAGGCAGATCTCTCTTGGTGTGTCTTCAGACTGGAAGTCCTGCAGGGATCATAGTGTGACATATTTTCCAAATTAATAACAAACAAGCAAACAAAAAAACCCCAAAACAAAAAAAAAAAGGGACTTAAAATCATTGAACAAATTAGATTGAAAGAGTCATCCAGATGTTACCTGGTCCAACTTCCTGCTCATAACAGGGTCAGCTGTCAAGTTAGATCCAACTTCAACTTCAAAGTTAAAGTTGCTTAGGGTAATGTCCAGCTGTATTTTCAGTATCTCCAGAGGCAGAGATTCCTCAACCACTCTGGAAAACCTCTTGTAATGTTTGGGCATCCTCATTTCTCATAAGACTTGTTTTCCCCCTAGTATCTGATCATAATTTTCCTTTTTTTCTTTCTCAAAGGAAATTAAAGTGTGTCTGAAATGAATGCATATTCAATGCTGGGTATAGCAAACATCATAGCCCTCTTCTGATGCTCTTGTTGTTGCTGTTACTAGATGTATTTCTAAGAAAGTCGATATTAACACCAATTCTTAAGCTGGATACATTGTACTCTCCTGAACTAAAGCAATTTGTTGGGATTCATGTCTGGGCCTCTATTCCTCTCACCTAATTATGAGGCAGGATTCATAGGACCTGTTTGGGACATCTGACCAAAGCCTAGATGAAACATGCTTTTTAATGGCGTACTTGCAGATGAGTTGAGCTGTGTGTAGAAGCACAGCAGTGTCTCCCTTAAATAGATGTGTCTCTGGGTAGATGAGACCCGCCTAAGAAACTCATTCTGGAAAATCAAAGGGTTCAGAGGAAGCAACCTTAATTTTACTAAACACAGAACAATTGCTCACAGCAAGTCTCTACACCATAATAGCAAGAACAACAGAGTAAAATAAGAAGTTGAGATGTAAAGGGAAGAGTTTAAGCCAATCACCATCAATCTTGTGGCACTGTTTGGAATATAGCTCCCTCTTTCTGAAGATATTTCCCTCAACTAAATTTTAGCACTGGGAGGGGTCATGTACGACATAGACCATGTAAGGTACAGGCTCTCACCCAAGAGGTTTAGTAAGCGAGCAGGAGAACGATGTTCAACAAAGGAACCAAGGGCTGTTACTGATTGGAGGGATCGTCTCAATAGATCCCTGGTCTGATTATTGGGTCATTTCCTTCTGTCAATCCTAATCTTCACATTCATTTTCACTTTAGGAGGGATCCTTGTTACCTAGTAGGTACTGTTAGTGAGATTCAGCTCACTTCAGCTTAGATATCTACATGTGAATTAGTCCCTTCACAGGCAGTGGTGACTGTCCCTGACAGAGTTTATCCTGCACTTTTACTCCTTCTCAAAAATGTTTTTTTTCCCTTTGATGACATGGTTCATCAATCACTGGAAAACACAGGAGCTCAGATATCTATGTCCTTTGTAAGTCTATGTTTCAGAAAATTCAGTGAAGGTATCTAAAGATGAGGCTAAATCCTTGTTCTCTTTCCTTTCCCCTTATCCCCAACAGTTGTCTACTCCCTTTGAGACAATAGACTTACCACACTTGTCTTTGCAGATTTTACTTTTCAGTTTATGCAGCACTTTTGATTCAGTAGTTGTAGCTCTTTATCACATTGACTCAATTCTTTTCCTCTGTCTTTGTTTACCAAAGCCACAGATCTCTGTAATCTGTTGCTCCCCTGAGCTTATTATTATTATTATGTTGAGACAACAGCTGATGATATATACTGGTTTCCACCTGCTCTCTGTTTAGCTGGCTTGGAAATTCTGAGGTATGACAAGGCCAAAGCATTGAGCTGTGGATTTATTGCTGGCTCCTCCCAAGGACGATCTCTCAGGGACCTGGTAGGATCCTGTCCCTGGAGCCCTGAACAGCTCACAACCAGAGACATCATACCAAGAGTTTCATGCTGCTTTGGTGGTCATTGTGATGACCTGGTGTGACTCCACAGAGCAAAGGCATTGCAGAATTTTTTTCCTAGGGGGCTAAATTTCTACCACATGATCTGAGTTATGTGTAGTCCAAAGAGACAGTGGTATTTAGGAACCTGAGGATGTGGTCAGGCACCTGAGAGAGAGTCAGTCCCAGATTCAGAACACTGCAGCACAGTTCAGCTAAAGATTAAGACACTTGAACCGATGCATCGAGGCATAGGGAACAATCTGGTACCTGTACCAAGTAGATCTGGTGCCTCTGGATTGCACTGGAGTCTTTCAGAAATGCACAAAAGCATGAGAAAAAAGACACAGACCATATGGGAGACTCATGCCATTTTCAGAGAGGTCTCTGAAAGGCCTATCCAAAGGGCACTATCTCCCTTTCTTTAGGTAATTGCATGATAGTGCTCTCCTGAACTCAATGTGCCATTGGGTTAGTTTACACCCCATGCTCCCACTTATGTCAAATTCAAGCATTTTGTTCTAGAGATGAGACCAAGACCTAAATATAGGAAATGTATCTTTCTTTGGCCCTTCATTGGGAAGAGGGGACAACTGATTTTCTTGATTGGAATAATTGCTCTAGCACAGTCCGTCTCATCCCAGTTTTATTTGAAAGGAACTTCTGGAGAGCAGCTGGTCCCATATTGCACCTAAGGCAGGGTCAAGTCCAAAGTTACATTAGGTTGCTCAAGGTCCACTAGTCCCTTTCAGCTGCATTTTTTTTTTCTCTCCAGCTGATCTTCTTGCCTTTTGAACCTGCTGTCTTCCTAGTTATTTCAGGTACCAGGATCAGGCAACCAACTTCACCCAAACCAGATCAGCTCCATATTGGCCCGTCCTGTCTTTTCTACTCTCTATGTTTTTCTTTCATGACACACTTCTCAAGTTTGAGATGCTGCATGAAGGCAGGTGCCTGGCTTCTGAAGGGATGTAAGATTAGCTCACTATCTATATTCCTCTTCTTACTTTACTTTATTAAAGCACTTACTTATTAAGCCATTTCTTGTTGGGTCTTTTTTATTGAGGTCCAGAAAGAGCCCTGTGCCATCTCTTTCTCTCTCTCACCTCACCCCTTAGTGCAGAACAGCCATCCAGGCCCCAGCTTTGTGATCCGCTTAGCAAGCAGCTCCTGTGTATTTACCAACTTATTCACCCTGACGCATGCCTAATTTGCTCTTAAACATTTTGCAATACCACTGTACCCACTCTGGATGCCACAGGGAACAAAGAAGCATTAAGACTAACCTAGACCAACACTACCAAGGATAACAAGGCATTCCTGATCAAAGCCTTTG